GACCTTTCTGGGGTTACCACCTCTGCTCAGACCCCACCCGGATCCGGTGACCTCACAGCCGCAGACTCCGGATGCGGCATTCTCATCGTCGGACTGTGACTCCGAACCTGACCCGCGCATGGCCACACTGCATTAGTCCGGGAGTCGATCACTTCCTACCAATATTTCAATCCTTCGAACTTAATTTAACTATTCCTAACACACTGGCCTCCCACATCTTATCTTCTTATTTCTTAGTTTATAACAGTTGGGATACTTCTTTCTTCTATTAACCGGCCGTACTACTTCGTATTGTGTGAACCAAATTAGGCCCATGTCTCAGTACGTGGGGGCATAGTTCATACGCAATTCCAGTAAAAGCCATATTGCTTAAGGATATGTTCTGTGACCAAGAAGCCTTCGTTCTCCAATGGCAGTTGTCTCTGCAACACTAATTGGCACGAAGCAGTGTCTCAGTAAAAAAACAAAGGGCAGAACCGTTAAATTGATTGCACCAACTGCATCGCCATAAAAGGCATGTCAGAATCTATTTGATACACCCCAAAGAACAGAATATACCATGATATATACTTATTCCACCAATACCTCCGACCTATCCCAAATGAAAACGATGACATCATCACCTTAGAAACCTTTAAAATAGGTCAAAAGAAACATTTCAAGAGGGAGTCGAGCCAACCCAGATCACTAAATATTGTTTTCCAAAATGGAGAGTAAACGTTTTTACTGTTGAGCAGAAAATGGACACTCCGTCGATTTCACTGGGTGAATTTTTTCAACGGGATCACTGGTTGGTCGAGCGCGAGATGTGGAAGAGTTAGTGAGCCACTATGGGGCCACCAAAATGTAAAAGACTCCAGTCCAAGTTTCTTACGGAAATCTTAGTTAAAGGTTAAATGTCTGATTAAGGCGTAGGTAATGTGTGCTTAGTGCGTGGGAAGTGCATAGCATAAAAGCAATTAAAGCGGCTTGTAGTGCTTTAACTGAAATAAAATATACATGAAAAGCCACAGAAGGGAATAAAAACGACAATAATAAACGCCCGTTAGTTCGCAAACTGTGCCTATTGACAAACAAGAATATAAGGACAACTCCTATTGAATGTTCGAACAGGTATCACGTGTTCGTCGTCAGACTAAATGAAAAAAGAGGGCCGGGA